ACCCTTCGAAGGAACTTCTATGTGGATGATGTTCTAAAATCTGCAAGCACCGAAGGCAAAACTATTGAACTTGCGAAGGACGTCAAGGCCGTTTGCGGAAATGGAGGATTTAACTTGATTAAGTTTGTGGGTAACACGGAACGTATCATTAACTTGGTTCCTTACGAACACAGAACGGAAAATGTGAAGAACCCGATACTTGGCCAAGATACGTTACCCACTGAGAGAGCACTAGGAATCATTTGGTGCATCAAATCAGATACGTTCAACTTCAGGATTGAACTTAAGGATAAGCCTTGCACACGTAGAGGCATCCTTTCGACGATTAGTTCTATCTACGACCCCTTAGGTTTCATCGCCCCGGTAGTACTTGTTGGAAAGAAGATATTACAAGACATCTGTCCTTCTAACAGGGATGAACCAGTTGACAATGCAACCAGAAGTAGATGGAAAAATGGCGGAACAAACTTTGAAGTTTAAAACCCGCGGAATTTGGAAAGGTTGTGTCTGCGCAGGTCCGATGCCTCAACATATGGGTATGGACAGTGCTCATATTTGAGACTCGAGGACGAAAGCGGGAAAGTACATGTGTCGTTTGTTATGGGAAAGACCTGCGTAACACCGAAGAAGACAGTCAGTATCCCGAGATTGGAATTAGCCGCTGCCGCGATTTTTGTCAATATCGGTGACAAGTTGAAGAATGAATTGGAGTATTAGGACATTAAGGACCACTATTGGACGGACAGTAAAATCGTTTTAAGCTTTACAAGTAATGAATCTCGTCGTTTTCATACCTACGTAGCCAACAGAGTTCAGCTTATTCACGAGCACTCCACCCTTTCACAAAAGCACTATGTGGAAACTACATTGAATACTGCTGACGAAGGATCAAGAGGTATGTCACCAAAGGACGTCGTGGTGAAATCAGAATGGATCAAGGGTCCTGACTTACTGAAAGAACCTGTAGAGAGCTGGCTGATAGAAGAAACATATGAAGAACAAGTGGATGAAGATTCTCTGGAGGTCAGAAACGTCAAGGTTAAAGTGCCAGTTCGATCAAATTTTCCGAATTTTATGTTTTTGCATTTTTCGAAAGTTTATGTAGCGGTTACTTTCCAGGCCAAGCCGTTTTCCAACCCAAGTACTGGAAGTCCGTTTTTTTCACGGTATTTCTCGCAATTTTGCGTCCGCCATTAATCGGCCATGTTCCTACCGGCATAGGCCGTAGTGACGTCATACTCGTATCGAAAACCTTCACATGGCTAATATGCATAAGTT